TCCACTCCACGCCGAACGAGCCCACCCCGTCTCCCCACACTGCAGAGGGGCACGGGCGTACCCTGGAGCGCCCGAAGGTACGGGGCGACCCGCACCGCGCTGCAGACCTTCCCTGCTCGGCGTCCTCCCGCTGGGGCCCAGGTCCCTCTCCCCAGCGCACCCTGCCTCAAAGACAGCACACGTCCGTCTCCCACCCACTTAGTAATCTGCACATCTAAGAAACTGTGCGCCCAGCACGCAAGACACAGAGTGAAATCCAGTGGACACACGCTTCATTCTTTCATTCCATCCCTCTACTCCCGAGTGCATGAGAAATATGCGCAACTAGTCTCTGCCGCATCGGGTGCACGGTGGACGGCGGCCGAGCCGGCACACGAGGCTCCCGAGAGAATGGGTAAAGCAGGTGAAGGAAGCAGAACGGGTGAAATCTCAATATTTTTGGTTTTCTTTTCGCACGTTTTTGAATAAGCAACCACACTTTGGCAAGCTCACTTGGATGGAGGGAGAGAGAGCGTGTAATAAATTCGCACAGATAAAGCATACCACAGAAACGAGCGTGAATAAGGAATTTAAGGGTAAATAAGCAAAATGATAAGCAAATTAAGTATTCACTATTATGGACCATTGATTGTCTTCTTTGATTTTGGGGGGCTGTTGTCCTAAAGCCCAATAAAATCAAGATTAACATAGAAAATTTCTTTGGATGCATTTATTGGAAGCACCTGAAATCATTTTAATTAGAAATGGTTTTCCTGGAAAGCTCCCAAGATACAGAACAGCTTACCTATCGGCACCAAGAAAAAGCCTCGATGTTCAACTTCCCGAGAAGCTTGCTTTCCGTCCGTGACTGGAGCCAGCACCTCACGGCGTGTGCCGAGAGCGCCTCAGCTCCCCTGCGTCAGAGCAGCGCGCTTCGCTCAGACGGGGAGCCGGTAAAATGCAGCCCTATGTGCGCCTCGGTATCATTCGCTTACCTGTGACCGTGAGAAATCAAAAAGGTTTGACAGCCGATGAAATGAGACCGACGCTGACGATGCCCACAGCGTCACAGGGTTCACGCCCTACGCAGCCGGCTCACGTTTCCGCTTCCGCCTCTCGCTGGATGGTACGGTCACTGAGGGCAGGGACCACGCGCCCCCACCCCGCTGCTCAGCACGACGCGCACGGCCTGTGCCAAAGACTTCCGAGTGTGTAACAGTTGAGCAAATAATAAATAAAGAAGTTCGCCACCATCGAGATCTCGACTAAGAAATTTTCCTTTTGTCCATCTTATTCACCCCCAACTGTCTTTCAGTAAAAATGCGAACAACAGGTGAAATGATAGGTAATCATCCGAGCGCCCCACTAGTGCTTGGGGCGTCCCCAAGTGAAGTCGCTTTGAGTACTGATGCCTTTAGGGAGCTGGTGGATTAATCTGACCCTGAGTAAACCATATCACTTTTCATTGACTTAAAACTCATAAACCCTTCCCAGCCGCCTCCCTCTCAACTGCCCCCAGTGCCCCGTCAGGCTTTGGAGCTTGTATGTCCCGCCTTTGGTGGCTCTCCCGGAGCACTGAAGGCCCAGTGCGGACAGTTCCTCCTGAAGCTCTGCTAAGTGGACAGTGACGCCGGGGCAGGACCTGGCTCTAGAAGCTGCTGTAGCCCATGGTGCCCTGGCGAGGGTGCTGGCATTGGTAATGCATCCAGCGGTCAGGACGGGTGACCCATGGGGCACATGCAAGATGAGGAAGAGGAAGCACTTTATCGATATCTATAGCCAACAATGAGTGACCAGCGTTTTGTCAACCAGACAGCACGTCAAGCCCTCACACGTGACAGGTCGTGATCATCACATTAACCTTACTGGGTGGGGACTATCACCACCCCATTTCCCGGCGGAGAAGAATAAGGCACCACCCTGCTCGTGAAAGGCAGAGCTGGGATCCAATTTAAGTGCATCTGATGCAAAGTCCAAGTTCACCCAGAACTTTCTACCGTCCAGAAGACACTCTCTAGAATAATCTTAGGTTGTGGCGAACATTCCGAAATACTCCAAACAGTGATTTCCTCTGAAACATTCGTTGCCACTCCCCATGCCCCTCTTGTCTCATCTAGATCACAGTGACTCCAATAACCAAGATGGCTCAAACTAAGACTAGGCAGCACGCGATCGCATGTGGAGACTGCCTTTAAAGCGTGTGTGAGTGGGAGCACGAGCCAGTCATTCTGCTTCCTGGGGCCCCGTTTTCCCATCTACAAAATGGACTGACCGATGAGTGACGTGATGGCCACCGCTCCCAGCTAGGGCTGTGGTTCTCAGGTGACATTACCAGCGTCCTGGAGCCGGAGCCTGCTGGTGGCTGAGGGTCTGGCAGACACCGGGCCCTGATGCCTCTCCAGGGCACACACAGAGAAACTATTCCCGCCAGAGTCAGTTATGTAGCCATGTCGGTTGATGCCACGCTGACACACTACAGAAACATTTAAGCAATTCGTAAACTGTTCCCAAGTCTGATGAAGAGAGCTGGCTTCTCTGTTGGTTAGAGCGTACGAATGCTGGGTGCTAGATGTAGAGCTGAATTTAAAAGCCAGGATGAAAACATAAGTCTCTCCTTGAAGGCCCTTTTAAGAATGACAACACTGTTTTAAACTTAAAGTAACTACTGTTATTTTCCTGCTAATCATTAGATCTTAAATTTCGAAATCAAAAATTTCCAAAGTCTCTGGGTATGCTTTAAAATATAAATTTCACAGAAACAATAAAAACCATGTTTTTTTTTAAAGAATATAAAACGTGTTATCTTTCCCATTAGTCCCAACAGAGGAAAATATACACCTGTATTAATTGCGTTACATGTCCTAGTTCCCAACCTCAAACTATTGACAGACGCCTCTCCTAAATTCCACATTTTTTAATGAGTGATTCTTAGCCGATAATCTGCTGTGAACACACGAATAGCCAGGATTCTCTGGAAAAAAGATGAGAAGGTAGCGGGGCAGGAACGTGACATCTACTGGACTGGAGCACATGGCCAGCCACGTACGGACCCCCGTCGTGGAGGCACCATGAGGCCAGGATCTCTACGTCCTGTATTGTCTGGGGCACGATACCTGGAAAAGGGCTGAACACAGAGCAGGCTCTCTGTAATCACTCGCATGATAAATTAGTTCGTAAGCTCTCAACAAGGCCGTCCATTTCTCAGGGTTCCCCTCACCCCACCGAGCAATAGAATGGGAATAGTCTAACATGCCCATCTAGATTTACACGAGTATCAGCTGGTGGACGCTGGTGAGCGTGTGTGAACAGAGCATGGCACCAGGGCTGGTCATCCTTACCAGTGCTTGTCCCAGCGCCCAGTGCGGCCATCGGCTCAGATAACGGACTGAGAGACCACACTTCCTTCTAGACAATTCTGCGTATCTGAGGCTTTTTTTAGTGGTTTTCAGATATTTAATTTTCACGTTGAAAATACCTCATGTCTATGCTCTCCCAGCCTTGGTTCTCATCATATTTGTGTCTGAGGCACTTCCATGACACAGTTCTCCCCGCCACAGGGTTCCTGACCCTCTGTGGGGTTGCCCGGGGCCCCCCCGAACGACGCAGGGGGCTGGCTCACATGTGTGCCTCCCCTAGGGAAGAACGATAAAGGAGACAAGGAGTTGTATAATAAACTCCATGTTTTGATGACTAAAAATGTATCAGGTATAAAGGTAAATACTGTTCTGAGTTTCTGTTCTTGTCAACTTAGCTTTTTAAAGTCCCTAAGACCCAAGGAAATGACTTATTTCAGCGAACTTAGGTTTCATTTCCGTCGGCGTGAGGCTTAAAGCAAGCCCTCCTTCGTTATTTGATTAATAGTTAAACTTGTTCGAAAGGATGTTTTACAGTCAGAAACCAGCCACAAAGATCCTTTCTAGTACTCTAAATTCAGATTCGGTAACACCATAACAGAAACTTTTTAAATGAGTAAATTCCCTGTTGCCTTCATGTCTTATTCCCGAGCTTTGCTTCAAAATCTCTTAATTGTTACAGAATCCACGCCTGTAGCTAATACCATGGCAGCTGCAACAAAGAAAAGCAAGATCAAAATGTGACATTGTTCCAATCGTTTGCCTTCACAGAAACAGACAAGCCGAAAACCTCCATAGGTGCCAGCCTCACGGCAAAGGCAAGGACACTGTCAAGGGAAACCCCACCCCCTTCATCACAATGTCCCTTTTTGACTAGAACACATTTCACCATTTTGTCATCTATAGATTCAACAATGCCATTTGGACATTGAGATGAAGATAATAAGATTTGATTGTTGGGGAAAAACAACCAACCACATTAGAGAATGGCCCACAGATGACTTGGAGACCCCAAGATGACACGAGGAGGGAGAGGAGAAAGGACGCGATTCTCGGGGTTGCAGGACCATCCGTGTCCAGCCCAGAGCTGCCCAGGGGTGCCGCATCAGGCACTTCACCACTGGGCGCCTTTAGGGCTGCCTTCGGACTGGCCAGAGTGGATTGAGTTGCTGAATTTTTTTTCATCCTTTTTTGTTAATTCTACACTGATTCAAATACGCGAAGGACCTTCACCGAGCGGTGGAACCGGCGTGGCCCTGGGCTGCTGTACAAGGAACCCGTCAACACGACAGAGGCTGGGGCGGGGAGCTTCTATCTTGGGACTTCTGAGGTGCCGCCCCGAGTGCCGTCCAGCCCTCCTCATCCAGAGCACCCAGGTGACCACCCCCAAATCCTGCCCAGACCGTGGAACAAAATTAGTTAGAGATTCGGTAGGGGCAGAGTTTAGTCCCCGCTGAGGACCGAAGACCAGCCCAATTACTAGTAAGTCCCAAAAATAACGTTCGATTTTAGGAAAACCGGACCAGCTCTCAAATAACTTTAACTCCCCGATGCATCTGCGGGTACAGCGCATGTGACAATGGGCTCGGGGTGGCCCCGAGACCCGAGGCGTCCTCCAGGGCGCGGCGGGAACCTGGGAACCTGCGCGCTGGAGGTGACGGCATTTACCTCGAGCCGACTTAGACTGGAGCTCTTGGAGCGCGACTTCTTGCGCAGGTACACGGAGAAGAACCTGCGCACCGTGAACTTCTTCATGCTCAGCTCCATGGCCCCGCGCCCAGCCGGGAGGAGCCGCAGGGCTGGAGGACGCGCATCCCCGGCGCATCCCAGGCGCGGAGGTTAGGTCCG